CTGTTTATTGCAGCCCAATTTATAATTGCTAAAATGTGGAAACAGCCTAAATGCCCTTCAACCCAGGAATGGATTGGCAAGCCATGGTATAGGTATACCATGGAATATTATTTAGCTATTAAAAAAATGGAGATTTTGCAGCATTTGTACTAAGTTGGATGGAAGTAGAACACAGTATCCTTAGTGAAGCATCACAGGACTGGAGAAATATGAATCCCATGTGTTCAACTTTGATATGAAGACAATTAATGACTTGGTGGGGTATGGGGGGAGGGGTGAGCAGAGAAGGAGGGGGAGTGAGGGTAAGGACAAGAAAAAACAGAACATAGTGACTAATTCTCACATAAATTGGATTCAATTTTGACTAAAGTACATCGCTTAAACATTAATTTTTACTTCAACTTGTTAATATGTTGTTTAGGATACAGGATACTGCCTCTTCATTTAAAAGTGAATTATGTTTGTAATTTCCCCTTTATAATAATACATTTTTTCCAATTTTAATATCAGGCGTATACAGATTAAGCAGAATGATTTTGAAGTATTTCTTCTTTTTCTATTGTCTATAAGATTTGGCATGATCTTTTTTTTGAAATTATCTTTTATTTTTATTTATAAATATTAGTTGTCTATTTTTGGAGACTTTGAAAAAAATAATTGATGACTCTATACTGAACCTTAGAGTCAAAGCATTTTATAATAGTCATACTCTTATTTGACATGTGAATGTTACTTTCTTTACATTACTATTATTATTATTGCTTAATACTTCATTGAAGCAATTGTCTGATGTCTTTTCTGAATGTATTTATCTTCATTCATTCTTTATGAGGTTTTGTTTCTAGTCCTTATCTTAAACATTGCTATTGTTGGTAAATTTTAAGCCTTTTTAATTCTGGGAAGGCAAAAAGTGGAAACCTAATAATCACATGTATATGTAAAAATAAAAAAAATATTAAAAAAAGAAAATTTATGAAGATGGAGATGATAGTAAGAAGTGAAACATGGGTGGTGCCTGTGACTCAAAGGAGTAGGGCACCGGCCCCAGATACTGGAGGTGGTGGGTTCAAACCTGGTCTACGGCAAAAAACTGCAAAAAAAAAGAAGTGAACCATTAATAAAGCTTTGGTGGGGTCCAGAGAGAAGCAAGCCAAAGGGGACAGAGAACTTTGAGACTTCAAAGTCCTTTTGGGAACTGTGATGCGGAAATACTGTTGTTTTCAATAAGGGAACATTGGTGTGTCGCATGTATAACTCTGACAGATAACTACACAAGCTCTCCTAAATAAAGGGAATGAATATGCTTATTAAACATTTCCTGCAAAGATGGTTTTTTAGTACCCTGATAATTTTGTTCAAGACAGAGTGATATTGCATTCTCACGTGAAATGTAAAAAGTCTTCTCCAGTGGAAATGCTACATAGTGTGCTTCTGTCCAGCTAAAACAGCTCCTACCAATGCAAGAAGAGTAAAACTTGAATTTTTCCATAAAATGCAAATCTTTACTTGTACTTGAAGTTTGCTGTAGAGTGGCTAATCCCTTATTACCAGCTTAAGCAGTACACTAATAATTCAGTCACAAATATTTATAGTTACATGTAAATATATTTGTTTATGAAAATACAATAGAAACTAAATCTAAACTTGACAAACATAAACATCTTTGTACAGTACCAATTAGTAAGTGTTGCTGTGGGTCACATGGATTACAAAGGAAATAGCCAAAGGTAATAGCCATAAATCAAAAAATAATTAATTTGAAAGTCCATCTTAGTCCTGTGTTCAATAAAGTTAAGTTTTTCTTTTTTAGAAAAAGATGATAAACAGGTAGTGGCTGATCAGAAATGGGAAATGTGGTCAGTGAGAAAGGTCTCTGCCATCCTCCCCTTCATTTATTCCACTTTCCCTATTCTCTATGGTCAGGCGCTACCTCTTTGGATCAGGATAGGCTATTGTGAAGCTCTCAGATTGCTGATGGGGGTTTTCAGAAAATATAGATCTCACCAGTAGCTGCAGAATATATTAATAGTTACTCTGATGGTTAATTTTGTGTGTCAACTTGGCTGGACCACAGTCCTCAAATATTTGGTCAAACATTATTCTGGATGATTCTGTGAAGATGAGTTTTAGATGAGATTAACATTTAAATTAATAGACTAAAGCAAATTACCCTCTATAATTTGGGTGGGTCTCATCCAGTCAGCTGAAGGCCTTATTAATCTCCCCCTAAGCAATAAGAAATTCTGCTAGCAGACTGCCTTTAGACTCAAACTCAAATTGCAAATCTTCCCCAGATCTCCAGACAGTCAGCCTACCCTAAAGATTTAGGATTCATCAAGCCACCACAACCTGTGAGCCAATTCCTTAAATTAAATCTCTTTTTACACACACACCCTATTGGGTTTGCTCTCTATAGAACCCTGACATCTGTGAAGATATTAAGTGACCAGGAGTTTCTCACCATTAGCTGAAGAATGTGGTTATGTACATGGTTCTTGAATGATATAGAAGCCTTGGTCTCGTCTCAATATCTTGCCTAGCACTCTGAAACATGGGTTGGGGTGACCTAACTCAGTTGATCTGGCGCCCTGAGACATTCTCTTGGTTCTGCCCATCCTTGTATCTTGGCTCCAATTCCCAAGAATGGAGCAAAGTACCATTTTCAGTTTCAGGCCTCACACACACACAAAAAAAAATTGGAAGAGAAAACTGCCTCAGTCCTATTATTTTGAGAAATTCACCCTGATTAAATTGTCCATTGCTCAGACTAGGACATTGGCTTAGGAAATGGAACTTACTATTTACATTAAGATAGTCTATGAAATGGGGGTGAAATAAGCTTCCTCTAAAAATGAAATTGAGGGGCTAAATGAATACATGAATAAAATTCTGGCTGGTTCTCTTCTGAAGGCAAAGGAAAGGATGCTTGGGAGGTAGCCAATAATCTCCAATAGACAATTAGCATCAGCAATTGATTTATCACAATACAACACTCAGGTGACGATATTCAAATGAAAACTACGAGATGTCTCAGAGGTCTCTGATAAAGTTGGGAAACATAGGGAAAATGGGCAATTATAGCTAAATGTATCTTTATTTACAAAATATTCATCACAAAATTTTACAAAATATTTACAAAATATTCTCTACATGTTGGCCACGTCTTTGATAACATGGATTTTTACATAAAATATCTGTATTTTAAATGTTGGCATCTAAGTCAGTTTTTGTTCTTGTTTTTAAGAACACAGGATAGCCAGCACTGTCCCCAATAAAATCATATTTCTCAGCCACATACAGTCTGAATGTCTAAATTACTCTGGTCTAGAACCATTGAGTGCCATTCAGTGTTTCTGTGGCTGAAAGGCTTGTTAAGAGTGGAGCAGCCAAAGGAGGGAGGATCCCAGCATGACTGTCATTATCTCATATCATGCTTTCCAGCAGGTGGATCCCCAAACACAGGTTCTCTATCACCAATGAAATGTGAAGTCCATTTAGAATCAGTTAATTACTCCTAGGCTAGGAAAGCTGTTCTAGTACCAGGAATACCAGGCACAAGGAGCTCATTTTCCCAGTGTTCACCATCGTACTTTATTCACCAAAGGTACCAAAGTCTTCACACTACTAGAAATCCAATGTGGATTGATCTTTTTGCCAAAGATGCCATTTTTTAAAAAAAGATATAGCAATCATTCTTTTATTTCTGGTCCTTTATTTGATGCCTTTATTACAGTTCTGCAAAGCATACAGGTTTTTATTGATAGGTTAGACTGATTACCTTTAAATATTTTGTAAAGATTTGTGATGAATAATTTGTAAATAAAGGTACATTTAATTTCCCATTTTCCCTATGATTGGCAACTTTGCAGGAGACACCCTGTAGTTTTCATTTGAATACTTGAGTACTGTATTGTGATAAATCAATTATTGATACTAGTTAAGTCAATTGGACATTATTGGTTGCCTACCCAGCATCCATTCCCCCTCCTTCAGCTTCTTAACAGAACTGAACCAGGATTTTATTCCTGTATCCATTTAGCCCCCTTGATTCCATTTTTAGGGGAAGTCGATTTCATCTCCATCTTAAAGACTGTCTTAAGGTAAACAGTAAGTTCCATTTCCCATATCATTAAAACACATTTAGTTTAACTGAATGGAAAATCACAAGTTTGTCATTACGAAAAACAAAAACAATACATAATTAGCTTAAAACAGATTCTACTGAGATCAGAGACTCCTATATTTATTTGCATTTCTTATCTAGTCCCTGGTGAATTTCTCATTTCCTTGAAGCACAAAGCACAAGTTAGAAATCAATCCTGTTTACACATTAGAATCTAGGGCGTGGAGATGGGGTGACACGAGAGGAACATTTTTTTTTTTTTTTAAGCGCCTTTATCGAGGCTCTATAGAGACCAAAACTCCCCCAGTGATTATATTGTGTAGACACAGCCAAATACTCTTCCTTGTAAGAAAATTCTACAAGACCTGAAATCCATCAAATCCCTCAGAATCTCTTCAGAACTGTTCATTTCAGCCGGAACGGGCTCTGGAGGTAACGCTGTGATGAGACGTCTGGGGCTAGTTCTTTTCTGCTCGACTGACCGGTCTGTCCGCCAAAAGGCAGCCTGGCCGAGCTTCGGCTGGCCCCGTAACGGGCGAACAATGCACTTTAACTCCGTGGAAAAACCAGAACGCAGTCGCAACCGCCACCAAATCAACACGAGCCAGGGGCTCTCCAACGAGAAAGACAGGAGGCTCGGATACCCGCCGAGGTTTTAGCCTGGGGGGGTTCCCGCTGCGCCCCAGCGCGCCGGGAGAGGCGGCCTCCGCGCCCTGGTCTCACGTCACTTCCGCCCGGCCAGGCCGCCCGGGCCGCCAGCGAGCTTGAAGCGACTTCCTCTTTTCTTTCCCTTCTTCCTCTCCCTGGCTCCGCCTCCCGGAAGCTTTGCTCAGTCTTCCCTGCGGGTCAGGGGTGAAAAGCCGCCCTGCTGCTTTGGTCTTGGTGAGCAACTGCCGCGCGTTCTGCTTCTGGGCAGCGCGAGTTAAAAGAACCCAGGTTAGATCAATGCCTCGGGCGCGACGGGGCTGTCCGGGCCTTCGGGAACTTACCCTCTCCGGTTCTGGGGCCCCCATCTCCCGAGCCTGCAGCTAGCTGTGCTGAAGCTGGAGTCCATGGCTTCTGGAGAGTCAGGTTGCGGCCCTTGCCGGGTTTCTGTCTCCTCTCTTTCCAGGCGAGGTCCTATTCATGCTGTTGACGCCGATACCTCTCTCCTGGAGCTTGAATCGGAAGCAGAGTAGTCTTTGTCGTCTCCGTGGTAGCAGGGTTCCTTCCTGAAGTCGCCAGAGTGCTTTAGCATCCATTTCTCCTCCTTTGAGCTCCGAAACCCTGGGAGACAGGTAGGGCAGACGAAAAATACATTCGCCTTCATTGTGCAGAGGAGCAAAGTGAAGCTCTTGGCAAATTCTTTCAGGGCGACACGGCTCTGTAAGCGTTAGAACTGGGATTTGCACCCACATCTAATTTACCGAGGCTTGCACAAAATAGTTGGGAGAACATGTGGAAATAGGGGAGACACTATAAACGTTAAAAGGACAGCTGGTGTTTTAGAATACTTAGTTTATATCCAGCGTTGTGCTAAGGTCTTTCTATAATTATATCATCCAAATCCTATAATAAACATATAAGTATATACTGTAGTTACTACTTATCTAGGCTTTGAGATGATAATTGGCATGTCCTGTATTAGTGTTCCCAGATCTCTTTCAATTCAGTGATTGTTCCAACACCGTAGAATGAACATCCCTTATAATCAAGCTGTCCTTTCCTGATTCTAGCTTTTCAGGAAGGGAAAAGTCCTGAAAGATACTCTCGGTCTCTTCATTCTTTGTTCAGTGCCTTATTTCTTATCGGCATCCTATTTAGAAAGTTGTAGTCATGTAAATCTTGCCTTAATGCTTACTCCACGTTTTAGTTTTTTCCTTTCCAATCAGAATTTGGGGAGGGTTGTGCTTCTTGTAAAATTAATGGATCCAGATTAAAGGGTTGGCCAGAAAAATTACTGTCTTTAGGTGGTCTCTCTTTATTATTCTCTTTGCATGTTTTATTTCAGTTTCTCCCTTATTTTCTCTCAGGAAAAACAGCTATCATCTTATGCCAAGATGTCAGGAATTGGAAATAAAAGAGCAGCGGGAGAGCCAGGCACATCCATGCCTCCGGAGAAGAAGACAGCTGTCGAAGATGCAGGGACCACAGTGGAAACAATTAAGTTAGGGGGTGTCTCTTCAACGGTATGAGGAAATAATGATTTGAAAATGTACTTTTCTTCTGTCCTTTGCACCCTGCCTGAGAGTAAAAATTTGTGAAAGTCTTCCGGAGTAAGGGGAAGCCATTTGACAAATGAAGGGAAATAAAATAGGCCAAGAGTAGGTGAAGTGATGTGGTTGGAGGAGAGGGAGAGTGACATTTAATCTTTGTTTTCATTGGGTGCTTATATTCTTTTGAGAGTCTGGTGCCTGATACAGCATTAACTATAAGTATTTGGTAGTGGGAAGATGGACATTTATTTTTTCATTGACTGAAAAATTTCAGTGTCAGATTCTAAGAGACAGTGTAGCAAAATCGTTCAAAGCGTGCGGTGAAGAGTGACAGTCTGAGATGAGACTGCTTTGAATTGACTCTCAGCTGTACCACTTTCTGGCTTCATGGCCTGTGTTTTCTTTTTTGTGTCTCTATTTTCTTACTTGTAAAATATAATTAAAATATCCTCCACATTAGGTTTTTTGAGGATAAAATAAAAGCCCCTGTTAAGAGCTAAAACTTCACCTTTAGCATCGTAATTATTCGATAAAAATGAGCTATTAATAGTTCCTATTGGGCCAGATAAGATAATGGTGACTAAAATAGATATTATCCTTGCTTTTATGGATTTTGGGGGTATTATGCACCAAAAGATTGTAGTAATGTTATGTATTCACTAAGTGTCAGAAGCCTACAGGTTTTGCTCCAGATCAAGATTCTGCTTTTTTGGAACTCTGCTTTGGGAATATGATGTTAAAACACTTTACGTTTTTATAGCTTACAAAACCACATCTGTTACTTGTTTTTGAGGCTTAGGTTTAGGGAGGTTGATTTTTTTTTTTTTTTTTTCAGAGTTACAATAGTAAGAATAAATTACGGATAAAGTATCATTTCTGAGGTTGTCCAGGGTTCTAGTACTCCATACTGCTGCCAGGAGGTGATTTTTGTCTTAACAGTGCTCTTATATCACGCACTTCAAAGGCATTTATTCACTTAGTAAATACATATTTGTTGAACATATATTATTTGGGCCGCTGTGCTTTATACTAAGGGAAGCCCCTAGACTTCAGGTTGTAGGGTGGCACCAACAAGGGCATGGACTGTATGTGGGGTGGGACGTGTGCTTTTCATAGGGATAAGCACGTGCTTGGTGAGAAGCACATAGCCCAGTTTAGACTTTATCCAGAAGGCCTGTGAGGAGCCATTGGACCGACTTAGTTAAGTAGGGGAGTAACATGCTCTGGTTTATGTTTTGAGAATAGAGTTATAAGCAGGAGTGTGGTTAGTAGAATCGTTCCCTCTTTGTTACTACTACCTTTCCCCCTTTACTTCCCCCCTCCAAAGGTGGGGATCTCAGACGTGTATCTACTAATGGCTATCCCATTTGGTTGAAGGTAACTTTTGAAGGCATTTAACTCCCATACATTTCGAGATTGTTAAAATGAGCCAAATGAGATTGTGGGACAGAAAAACTAAGAGACTGCACAGTCTGTTTGAAGTTGGAACACTGGCACTGTGAATGGAGCTGTCCACCACAACTATGCTGAAATCTGCAATGCTGATGGGACGTGACACAAAAGTGTTTGCCACAGGAGGCTTTTGCAGTAATCCTAATGAGGGGTTGGTGGACTACTGCGGAGGTAACATTGATAAAGTTTGCTCATGGACTGACTGAAATGTGAGAAATAGGGAGCATCATCCTAGGAGTTTGGAAAGAATGGAGTTTTTCCTTACTGAGCTAGGGAGGTATGGAGCAGGATTTCGGGAGACATGGAGTGTTAGTAATGAGTTTGGTTTGGTTTTGGACATGTAAGTTTGATAAATTAATAAATAATGAGATATCACTGCCAAAGCTGTACATTTGGGAATGATCATATCATAGCTGGATTTAAATTCAAAAGACTAGAGACTCTCCCTTGAGGAATAAGCACAGATAAAAAGAGGTCTGAGGACAGACGTGTAATTGTAACATTTTCATGTCAAGGAGATGAGAAGAACCCAATTAAAGATTCAGAAAAGAGGGACAAATCAGGTCGGGGGACAGCAAGACAGAATGGGGTCTAAGTAACCAAATGAAGAAAGTGGTTCAAGGAGGCTGCTGATAGGTGGAGTAAAGGGAGGATGTGTTGTTACCCTTAGTGATAGAGAGTTCTTTGGAGACTCCACATATGTTGTTAAAGTAGTGGGCATGGAGAGCTGATTGTCGTGAGGTTAAGAGAATACAGGAGAAAAGGAATTAGGGAAGAGAGAAACTATGCTTTAGAGGTGTACTGGAAAACAGAACAAAGAAAATGGAGCATTGGCCAGGGGGAAATGTGGGGCCAAAGGATTGTTTTTGTTTGCTTTTTAAGGTAGGAGATATTTGCTGCATGTTTATCTGTTGATTGAAATGATTTGATAAAGGATAAAACTGATGATATAGTGAAGAGGAGGCAGTTCCTGTGGTAGGTGAGGGGAATGCAGTGTAATGCACAACTGGGGAATTGGCCTTAACTAGGAGTAGAGACAGTTTATAACAACAAGAAGGAAGGAGTTAGGTAGGTCAGTAGCTGTGGTTGTGGGAGGTGGGTGTGAGTATTCTACTCTGATTGCTTCTATTATTTTTTTTTTTTTCCCAGTGAAAGCAGCAGACTCATCTGAAAGTGAGGATGGGGGAGGAAGTTTTGGAGGTTTGCAGAGGTGGTGTGAGGAGAAGGTGTGAGGTTGTCATCTAGAAGAGAGAATGGGCAAGAAAGATGTAGGGTTGCTGGGCAGCTCTTTGGGCCCACTTGAATTTGTGAGCATAAGTTTAAAGTGAAACCAATCAGTATGATGTTTTATTTTTTTCCCTTTGCATTTAGCTGCGTGAGTCTAGGCTTGAAGTAGGTGGAGGGTTCAGTGTCACCAGGATTGGGTTTTTACGAAACGAGTATGATGAAGGAGCAAGGGAGGAGAAGAAAATATATAAAGAGAAGTGATTATAGTGATGGATCATGGCATTTACGTTCAGTTCAGGAAGTGAGAAGAGTGAAGGATAGGGACAAGTAGGGCAGGTGGCTTGTGGATGCTGGAGAGGTTGAAGAATTGTTGCAGAATGACCTGAAAAAATAGTGGTCATTGTGGAGAATGGGCTGTTTGAAACTTATGGAGGACAGGTAGGTACAGCAAAGACTAATTATGGGAGTTGGCAGCTGAGGGAGGTAAAGGACAAGATCGTTGGTGGAGAGGAGGTCAATGCCTTGATGATCCAAGATTCAAGAAAGATTATCTCCATAGGAATTGATACCATTAAGAATTATGACAGGAATAGTATTGGAGAGAGTGGTAGTAACCTAGGTTCTAAGTGCTAAATCCTTGAGAAATGAGGGAAGATACTGGGGAATTTATAGATGAGTTCCGCAAAGCAGGATGACAGATGGTATAGACTAAATGTGTGAGCTTTAAAACAAGGAGGTTTTAGAGAGGAAGGTGGGTTAATGGGTGTGGAAAAAGGAGGGCCCTCATCTGCCAAGGGCTTCCAGGGGTGTTGTAGGGAAGCAGCTGGCACCGAAGAAGCCTGCAGGGAAATAGTATTTTCATGCAGGTTTCAGTTAGGGCAAGAAGGGAAGGCAGTGTTCAGAGAAGAGTTTGAGCGTTAGTACTGGTAAACTGGTACAGTGGGAAACTGTTGACCACCCTGGCATTATCAGGAGTGTTTTACCCAAAGTGGAAGACAGAAAATAAAAGTCAAATAAGCAATTGGTGCTCTGTGAAACAATTCTTACTTTAAAATACTCATTTCATTAATTCCTGGTTTAGTAAGAATGTAAGGCTTTCCGCATGCTGGTTCATTGCCTGTGATTTTCTTTCCCCAGCTTGTCCTGGGGAAGGAGCTATTGAGAGGGGTGTGAAGTGAGGGTTTTGCAGAACCAGGAGAGGAGGAGATCTGAGCACGAGTGAGGTTTTAGGAATCTGTGCATAGGTTGATGAATTGTGTGAATGGTCAACGAGATGGGGGATTGAAGAGCTTCTATCTGATGGCTTCTATTTTCTCATTAAAATAGGAAGCAAAGCCATCTGCTTAGTGTGATGTAAAAGAGGTCAGGGCTTGGTAGAGTTTGATATTGCCTTAATGGACAGTGGGAGATAGCTCATTAATTAAAGAAATATTTCTGGACAAATTATAAAGTCTTTTCAGGTTAGGAATTCATTTTGTAAAGGCTCCTCTTTCCCTGGTTTAATGAACTTACCTGGAAGTCTCAGCAAACTGGTGATAGGAACAGAATAGTCAGACATCTGAGTTAGTTCAGACTGGGATTTGTTCACAGGGGAGAGGAAAAGGATTAAGGGCAGAGAATTGAGGAGGCTCATAGGCAGGTGTTTGGAGGAATGTCATGTAGTGTATGGTCAAGATAAGGAAGGAAGTGGAGACAGAGAGGACTGAAAGGGACAGGAGAGAATTCAAAGTTCTGGAGACCTAAGCAGGTGAAGGGTAAAGACATGAGGGGTCTGGAAAGATGTGTTTTTTTCATTCAGGGAGTGGGAAGTTGGCATTTAAGATTAAGGTATGGCACAGTTCCACATAATGACAAGAGTCTAAGATGTGGCTTTTGAAATGCACGAAAACACAATGGAGAAAATAATCACTGGAGTTAAGGAATTCAAAATACTAACAGCCTAGATGCTTGAGGATTAGATGATTTGTGTAGAAATATATTGAAGTAACTAAATATATTGTCAGGGACTGGGACAGAGAAAGAGCCAGGTGTCCAAGTCTTGAATGAATGCAGTGCTTAGGAGATGGGTGACAGTGTCAATTGGACTAGAGGGTGTCTAGCTGCATGCTAGAGCCTCCGAATGCCGTTACTTTGTGAATATACTTGTGAACAGAGCACTGAGATGGGTGTGGTTGAGGGTCTAGTACATTTGTTTGTGTCATCCTCACATCATCATGCACCCGGTCCTTTATCTCTTCTGCTTCTACTTCATTGTTGTAAGTTTTTCTTTTTAGATTCATTGAAGATAACTAACAAACTAATGTGATCGTGTTGAGTTTATCAACTTACTTGTCTGATTGCTTTGTTGAGACTAATACGATTGTTTTCCTGGGGCAGGAGGAACTAGACATTCGAACACTGCAGACGAAAAATCGCAAGCTGGCAGAAATGCTGGATCAGCGGCAGGCCATTGAAGACGAGCTCCGCGAGCACATTGAAAAACTGGAGCGACGGCAGGCCACCGATGACGCCTCACTCTTGATTGTCAACCGGTACTGGAGTCAGGTGGCTAACTTGTTTATTTGCTTGGATTTTTATTTAGGCATTTTAGTTCTCCATCTTACTCTCATTTCCAAAGTTGTATCCTTTTGTTTTTTTTTATAATTCTACCCTTTCCAGTTTGATGAAAACATCCGTATCATCCTTAAGCGTTATGATCTGGAACAGGGTTTGGGAGACCTGCTAACAGAAAGGAAAGCCCTGGTTGTGCCTGAACCAGAACCGGACTCAGACAGTAATCAGGAACGCAAAGATGACCGAGAGAGAGGTGAGTATTTGAGTTGCGTTCTGTTTCTGCATGTCTCTGGGTTTTCTAAGTAGAGCTTTGCTTTGAGGCTCTCCATTTGAGGTGGGAAAAGGGATTTTGTTATTTCCAGTTTTATAATTTTCGGGGGGCTTCTTTTTTCCCCCTGTGTCCTCAGGGGAAGGGCAAGAGCCAGCTTTCTCTTTCCTTGCTACTTTGGCCAGCAGTTCCAGTGAAGAGATGGAGTCTCAGCTGCAGGAGCGTGTGGAGTCTTCCCGCCGAGCCGTATCCCAGATTGTGACCGTCTATGATAAGTTGCAAGAGAAAGTGGAGCTCTTATCCCGGAAGTTAAATAGTGGAGGTGAGGCAAGAACCTGAAGGCTGGGAGTAGCGGGAGAGGAGTGAGAACTCCGTCTTTGCATTCAGGCTTATAGTGTATTTTTAGTTAAATTTCTTGGAATCCTCATCTTTAACATTACTGGGAATGTCATTACTATGTGGCATATTAGTAGTTTACTAATGCTTCACGTTTTTTTAAAATTATTTTTTATTAAATCATAACTTTGTACATTGATGCATTTATGGGGTTTAGGGTACTGCTTTGATATACAATGGGAAATGCTTACATTGAACTAAGTAACACATCCATCACAATTATCCTCATTTCTAAATAGTTTTGAAATGTATCATTGTAATGCTTCACATTGTGAGCCACATGGCAGTCCTTTAATAAGCTAAGGAAAGATTTTATCAGCTTTATTCTGACATAGTCTATAAATTAGACACTTTTGTAAATAGCAGAATTAATTTTATTATTTAAGAAATAGCTCTGATTTTTGGATAATTATATGGTATATACAGACTATTGATTTATTAGTGATAATAAAAATTTTAAATATTAACAGTTATGTTATTTAAAAACTTTTCTGTTAGCTATTGAATTTTGACTTGTAAGTATCCATTTTTAATTATGTTTTTGTTTTTCTATTATTGCTAATGTTTTTAGAAAGAATTGGTTTAGGTTTTAGAGTTATCAGATGATCTCTATGTTTAGAAGGATAAAGGAGAAAATAGTCTATGTATGGTAAAGTATCTGTATGAAACAAAATTATTGGGAGTAATTATGCTGTTACTCAGTGTTAATGCAGAAAATTATTATGCTACAGTATTTGTAGCTAGGTTATGTCTTTAGTCATTTGTGGCATAAATCTCTTGCTCAAATGCAAGTTAAATGCCTTTATTCACATTTTTAATAATAATCATGGTCTAGTTGGAATATCTTAATTTCCTAGATTATCATTAAGATGTTTAACCTTTCATTTCTGAAAGAAATAAGTTGAATGTATGAGAGGCTGAACCATTGGGTAAGCAAACAAGACTTACATTATTCTATAATTTTAGTTTTATGGATAATTAAGTTAAACTGTCAACAAAATAAGCTGCAGGCATGTAGAAGCTTTGTGAAAACTTGGTGGACAAGGGTTTCTTTTGCTTTTCCACTAGTGTGTGTGCATTTCTATATTTTATTGTTAGGAAAATAGACAACTTGTTTTAAAATGTGCAAATCCAAAATACGTAAAAGTAGACTACTATTCTCATCTCACTTCTCAAAGGAAACCCTTGTAAGGACGTGTTCCGTGTCCTCCTGGACTTCTGAATTCCTGTTATGTCTACTTGAGTGTTCCCAGCTCACCTGAGCCTCTTGGTGCAGTGCCGGGCTCACTCTGTTTCTTCAGTTTCTGGAATTGTATCTGGTATCTAATGGATTAGTCAATGGGAAATAAATGAATTAATTGTGTTCTGTATATATGCATGTATTTAATTCTCTTTTGACTCTAGTTAAATAGTGAGAGATAGTTTTACTTTTTAGTAGTCTGGATAATATGCCATATGTGGGGGCATTAGTATTAGTGTTAAACATGATTTTAGAAATAATATCAAGTGAAATAATGGCAATATTAAAAAGGAAGTAAAATAGTACTTTAAAATTATTCTTTTTTGATGGCATTCATGTTAGGGTCAAGTTTATGCTCAGACATAAAAACATTTATTATGATTTACAAGCAGCTAAGCTATTATTTGTAACACAAAAGGCAACTGTCACTGATAAGCTGAGCTTTCTAAGAGATAAAGATACGTGTCAATTATAACTTGTTTGGAAGTTCATTCACCGCTCTCCCCCCATGTTGGTTTGGTCCTTGATTCAGTGGCTTTGTATAGGCTTGTTTATTAATTTATTAAATATTTATTGTGTGTTTATTATATTCTGGGTCTTGTCCTCAGTGCTTAGGTGGGAGTACTAAAATTCAGTCTCTTATTTTTAATTCAGGTTAGAAATGAGAATCACCTTAGGAGTTTTCTGAGTGTACTCTCTTTCTGGCTCTGTCCATGGGAGATTCTTACTCAGTAAGTGTGGGATAGGTCTTTTTTAGAAAAGCTCCACAAGTGATTCTGATGGGCCATTCTAGATTCAAAACCCTGAAACCACCACATAACCAGCCTATTCTGTATTATCTGCAGAGTGATGCTGAGAGGTGTTAGAAAGGAGCATAGTTTCTCTAAAGGATGATCTCGATCCCGGGACTGTGTGGTTTCCCTTAGTAACATTTGGATTGGAGCTGTAGTATGTATGACTCTAACTTACTTACCTGATGTAAGTTCTTTAGACTTACCTACCTAATTTATAAATTATGGTGTTCATTTTGATTTTTGAGTTTCAGGAGGGCCCCTAGCATATTGTTTCAGAATATGATAAATGAGTCTATGCTCTGTTTTGTTCATGATTTTATGGGGGTTTATTTAAAGATGGAAATTCTGCTCCCTTTCCACCTTCTCTCTCCCTACAGAGACGTGTTTCATATTGGTGTTATGAGTAGGAATGTGTGATAGCCTTATGAAATAGAATTATATTGCTATTAGGTCTCACACTGATTAGAAATACCACTGTTTTGTCTTCAATTCTAAAATGTAATTTTTGAGGGGATTGTACCTTTTATAAGTAAAGTTATAGAGCCCTTATTTATTTTCTCACAGCATTTTGGCCTTACAGAAAGGGATAGAAGTTTGGTGTTCTGAGCTGCAAGTTGACTAATTTCCTTAAGCTAGTCACCTGAACTCTGGGTACTTTATCTGTCACATGAGATAATTAAGACCAGCCTACTTCTTCTTCTTTTTTTTTCTTAATACAACTATCTTGTGTATAAAAAACCCAGCCTACTTCTTGAAGTTCTGAGGAAGATGGAAGTGGGGTAGTAAGTTAAAGCTTTGGTAGGATAAAAAGTATTAACATTTAATACTATGGGCTCTGTGCCTGTAGCACAGCAGTTACAGTGCCAGCCACCTGCACCGAGGCTAGTGAGTTTGAACCCAGCCTGGGCCAGCTAAGCAACAATGACAACTACAACAAAAAAATAGCCAGGCATTGTGGCGGGCACCTATAGTCCCAGCTACTTGGGAGGCAGAGGCAAGAGAATCGTTTAAGCCCAAGAGTTGGAGGTTGCTGTGAGGTGTGACGCCATGGCACTCTATCGAGGGTGACATAGTGAGACCCTGTCTCCAAAAAAAAAAAAAAGAAAGAAAGAAAAACAGCATTTAATACCATGGATACTAAATTAAATACAGTCCTTCTTCTGCAGATAATCTGATAGTAGAGGAAGCAGTACAGGAGCTGAATTCCTTCCTTGCACAAGAGAACATGCGGCTGCAGGAATTGACAGACCTCCTTCAGGAGAAGCATCGCACCATGTCTCAGGAGGTACTTCACCAAGAAAGGAGAGGTGGCTTTTTCTCAGGCCGCTGGCAGACATTGTCTCAGAATTCCAAACCCACATTTAAAGGTTCTCTTATTTCCCTTGTAGAAGGCCTATTTTTATACTGAAGAGCATGCGTACCAGCCTAAGGTGGCCAGCTCTGGGAGATCAGAAGTGAGGGAGGAAGACAATAATTCAATATTTTTCCTTGACTACACCTATTTAAATAGACATTTTAGGATCTTAGTCTTTAGGAAGAAATGCCATCGTAGAGGATTTTGCAAACTACAACAAAACTCCAAACTTCTAAGTGATGGGTTCCCTAAGTATAAAAGATCCTGTACAGTCTTACTGAGGAATGGCTCGGTAAAAATTCAACAGAGAATGACAGAGTGGGAACTACTGCATTGATGATGTCCTGGGAACTTGAGAAATGTGGATTTTCTGGGTAAACTTGAGTACAAAAAGTGCCATCATCAAACCATGCCAAGATTTAAGCATTTATTTACACCAAGTAATCAAGATAAAGTCATGACAGGCCTTAATAAGACTGTTTCCATCCTCCTGCTTATCATTTTGGTTACGTTCAAAGGATATTCTACTGAAATTTGATGTACTGTAATTTGTCCATCGACTTCTCATGCTGATAAGTAATTTAATAGTCACCTTTTACTTAGTGCCTAGCACTTAAACACTTTATGAACATTGTCTCTCTTGGTAAAATAATCCCACTTAACTGCTAAGGAAACAAATTCAAAGAGCTTAGTGACATAGCTTGAAAGTAACTGAGCCGTGTTTTCTTTTTTGTAGATTTCTGCTTTTGTTTTTGTTTTCTAAAAACCATAGAGAGAGAGAGATGAGCTGTGTTTTGAATGTAGGCCGGTTTAACCTCAAAGCTCATTTTCCTTATGTGTGGTTGTTTCCTAAAATCTAGTGTTAAGGTTCATGCTAGGCTGGTTGCATGAAAATTATCTGGGGAGTTAATTACTTAATATGGATTCTCATGGACCTTCAAAGGGGTAAGAATAGAGCAGCACTTATGAACAAATTGGAATGTTGTAAGAAGAATGACCTTCTTCATGTTTTAAAATATAAACTAGGTGCTACCAGCATGGTCTTTTCTAGCCCTTTCTTAAATCTCAGATAGCATAAATTGCTAACCTGGAGGGCACATTTTTTGCTCAACTGGCTTGGTATGTAAAATGACTCTTATGTTAGGCTGGCTGTGATGGCTCACGCCTGTTATCCTAGGAGGCTGAGGCGCATGGATTGCTTGAACTTACAGGTTTGAAACCAGCCTGAGCAAGAGCGAGACCTCATCTCTAAAAATACCTGGCTGTTGTGGTGGGCACCTGCAGTCCCAGCTACTTGAGAAACCGAGGCAAGAGAATCACTTGAGCCCAAGAGTTGGAGGTTGCTGTGAGCTGTGAGGCCATGGCACTCTATGGAGGGTGACAAAGTGAGCCTCTGTCTCAAAAACAAAAACAACTACAACAAAAAACCAAAAAGACTGTTATGGCCACTGTTGGTGCTGTTTGCCGGGAGCTCACATTAGTTGTCCCCTGGAATGCCTGCAGTGTGCCTCCCCAGCATGGCAGTTTCAGAGAGTTGGACTTTTTTCGTGGTGCCTAACTTCTTCCAATGAGGATCCCGAGAACATCAGGCAGAACATGTGTGGCCTTTTTGACATACCTTTGAAATTACGTAGTGCCATTTCTACTGGGTCACTAAGAAGTTACATAGTGCAGTTTCCATGGGGTCACTAAAGTTGACCTAGTTTCAAGAGGAACAGATATGACAAAGAAACTGACAAAGGCTGTACTTGTTGACCTGAGGCTCATTAAACCAACACGAAGGGTACATACTGTATAGGTTAACGGGAACATGTTAACTGTATGCTAATTAAAATACTAAATAGTGTTAGCTAGTGTACAGCTCCTAAATAAACAGTGAACAACAAAAGGTTTTGTCTTTATAGTTTGTGATTCTAGATGACTCTGGGGTCAGCTTGAAAAAGAGAATGGAAATTTTCCTTTTTCTATCTGGATTTTGTAGGAATGTGGAAAGAGGTTAAAGATAGCTGTTTTTTTAAAAAAAAAATTTTACATTCTAAAATATTTATCTGATCAAATGATATTATCTTTTCTCTTAAAAAATACACATTTTTGATAGGTTTATGGTGTTGTCTAGGAAAATAGTGGTTTTCATAGGTAGAAAAATTACTGTTTCTTAGTCTTTTCTTTGCATGAAGACTTCTTACAGACTTTAGACTTAACTATTTTCATAATTAAACAGCCTCAGAATTGTCAAAAGAATCTGTAATTTCATTTTTATACTCACGTGTTGAGAAGAGGGTGAAGCCTCTTCTATTTCAATCTTTTCTGTAATCATATAAGCAAGGGTGAATGTTACGTGACTTGGACCTTAAACTACTGATATGAATCATTCCTTTTCTAACTTGGTCGTTTTTGCTGTATTTTTCTGAATGCCTGTATTTGGGATGTAGTTCTCCAAGTTGCAGAGTAAAGTGGAGACAGCTGAGTCACGAGTATCTGTCCTGGAGTCCATGATTGATGATCTGCAGTGGGATATTGATAAAATTCGGAAGAGGGAACAGCGACTTAACCGACACTTAGCTGAAGTCCTAGAACGGGTCAGTGCTGTTTTGTACTTTGGAGGCTAGAATCATGTTTAGAAGTCTCCTCAGAAAGGAGCAACTTGGGAAGTGGCGCTTGGAAAAGAAATTGATCCTTTGAAAGTACGTTGGTTATAAATCTTAGGCTCTAACTAAAACATTTTTATTTTCTCTGTAGGTGAATTCAAAAGGTTATAAGGTGTATGGAGCAGGGAGCAGTCTCTATGGTGGCACCATCACTATCAACGCCAGGAAGGTAAAAGTAGTGACTCTGGTTGTGTTTTTGGACTTGACGTCAGGGCTTGTGCCTAGGTACTGGGAATGGTGTTCACAGGTGGCAAAGGGGGGTATCGCTGGAAGAGTGAATCGGTGAAGGTGGGAAGTTTAGAAATGGGATGATTGAAGAACTCTTTCTTAACTCTCATTTTGTATTTGCCTGCTTCTATCCAGTTTGAGGAAATGAATGCAGAGCTTGAGGAGAACAAAGAATTGGCTCAGAATCGTCTCTGTGAGCTGGAGAAACTTCGGCAAGACTTTGAGGAAGTCACTACACAAAATGAAAAGCTGAAGGTAAAAGCTTTACCACATCTCCAGAGGGTGGTAAAGTCAGACTTACTGATCAACTGTCACGTGCACTTGTGAACCGATGTTATTAATGAGGGCAAAGAAAAGTGCAGGCCAAATTCAACCTCCGTTCATGGTAATATAACTCAGTAAGTTAGGTGTAGAAGAAATATGTGTCAACATAAGTAGAGGCCATATATGACAAGCCTGTGGCTAACATTTATTTGGTGGTGAAAACGTGAAAGTGTTTCCCTTTAAGATCAAAAAGAAGTCAAGGATGTCCACTCTTAGTGCATCAATTCAAGAGAGAGTGCTGGAAGTCCCAGCCGGACCAGTTAGGCCAGGATGAGAAATAAAAAGCCCTCTAAATTGGAATGAAAGAAGTAAAGTTGTCAGATGACACAGTCTTGGATGTAGAAAAACTTCACCAAAAAACTGTTAACAACTATAAACAAATTCGGTAAAGTAAGATACAAAGTCCATGTACAAAAATCAGTTGTATTTCTGTACAATAACAGTAAACTACATAGAAAAGGAAGTAAGGAAACAATCTCACAAACATTATCAAAAACATAAAATACTCAGGAATAATTTAATGGGTGTAAGATCTGTCTAGTGAATGGATAAAAAAATGTGATGTGTGTATATGTATATATGTATATTAATGAAATACTATATAACCTTAAAAAGTAGGAAACCCTGTCATTTGCAACAACAGGGATATTTTTAGAGGACATGCTAAGTGTCCTTAGCTGAGAGCAGAAAGACAACTATATGATCTGATTTATATGTGTGATGTGAAAAAGTCAAACTCACAGATGCAGTGAGTAGGATAAATTGTAGTTACCAGGGGGAGGGAAGTGGGGAGATGTGAGTCAAAGAGTATAAAGTTTCAGTTACGCAGGATGGAGTTTTGGGGACCTGATGTGTAGCATGGTGACGATGGTTGATAATAGTGTATTGTGTACTTGAAATATGCTAAGGAAGTAGATCTTTTTTTTTTCCCCCTTAGTCATTTTTTTTTTTTAATCATAGCTGTGTACATTCATGTAATCATGGGGTACAGTGTGGTGTTTTCATATACAAGTAGATCTTAAATGTTCTTGCCACACAGAAAAGGCTATTACTGAGGTGATACATATGTTGATTAGCTGAACTGTAGTAATCATTTCACAGTATATATGTATATTAAAACATCATGTTATATACCTTAAATAATGTACAGTTTTAATTTGTCGATGATACCTTAATAAAGCTGGATGGAGAGAAAAATGTAAGTTTTGGTGATAGATCTACTTATTTACTTTTATGTTTACTTATTATCTGTACGCTGCCTTGTTTTGAAAAGGATTTAAAGTAACCTACCAAGAGTAAGTGCTGTGCTCTGACTTAGGAGTTGTTGAGGATAATGAGGAATAGGGTAAGCTTGAGTGAGGGTCCAAGATGGATTAAGAAGTGGGCTTGTCTACAGGGTTGTGCAGGGCCCTGCATGTACTGTGGCAAGGTGGACCACTCATGTGTCAGTAATTGCTACAGGTCCACAGATTCGGCTGTGTGGGTTCTTGCTGCCAAAACACAGAAAGAAACACAATCAATGATCCTATTGGTTTTTAAACCTATCCAGAATAATTTTCCCCTCACATCCTTAGAGGAAGCAAAGGGATTCCGGAAGACTCTCTCACCCTTCTTTCAATCACAGCCAACTTTATTTTATAATTTTATCTCTTACTAGGTAAATAGATAAGAATAAAGGTGTTTGAACAGAAAAGTAAAAAAATAACCCAAGTTAAATCACATAAAGTGTTTGAACAATTAAAGCAAACGGTAGCTTAGAAGCATGACTAATTTTGATAGTCTGCCACAAATGTTTTTCTCTGTGACTGTTAATAAAGAGAACAGGTTAGTTGCTGGGGTTTTCAACTATATTTAAAAATAATCATCTGACACATTTTCACAAGGCTCTTCAGTGAGAATTATTATTATCCAAATAATTCTGAGGAGGAAGAATACAGCATATCCAGCTACTACTTCTTCGGTGGTCTAATTTTAGTTGGGGTAGGCTTTACATCACTAGAGGAATGGGTAGATGGGCTTCATAATCTTCAGAAAGATAGTTTGAATTGTGCAGGACATCAGGGAGTTCAGAATTTTATTTCTTACCTAGCATCTAGGGGATAGATACTAAATTCTGCTTCTGACTTTTCTTATCTTTGGGCACTCCTCAGGTGGAATTGCGGAGTGCAGTGGAGGAAGTGGTTAAGGAAACTCCAGAATATCGCTGCATGCAATCACAGTTCTCCGTCCTGTACAACGAGAGCCTACAGTTGAAAGCACACTTGGATGAGGCTCGGACCCTGCTTCACGGCACCAGGGGAACCCATCAACGCCAGGTCGAGCTCATTGAGGTAACAGCCTTGTCTTGTCTTCTGTATATGAGCTTTTCTGCTACAAATTTCACAGTTTTACATGCAAGTAATCTCTCATTCATTCAGCAAATATTTCTAGAGTGGCTGTGGGTCTTTATTCTGCTAGATGGCAGGCACAACACAGATGAGACAACAGAATTCCTGCTCTGTGGATCCAATAGTGTCCAGTAGTGGGAGAATAGCATCCGTTAGAATGCAGTATGGGACAGAAGCAGCTTATCCGAAAGGTGTGGTGATAGAGAGACCATCTGACATGGCTGTGGAAACTTCCTGATTCCACTTAAGAAAGTAACGTATGACTCTTAAAGATAAATATAAGTTTATGGGTTGTTAAAAGTAGGAGAAGAGCATTTCCAGCAGTGAGAACAGAAAGTATAAAAATGTAAGAGAACGTGACAGATAGTTTAGCATGGCTGGAGTTTATGTGTATAAGGGAAAATAGTGGGTAGAAGCTATGTCACTACTTACGTGCCATTGTATGCTACAGTGGCACCTGTAGATGATTTTATTTTAAACGTAGAAACTTTTATTCCTCTATTAACTTCTGTATCTTCCATAGTCCCTAAGGTGGTGTTTATGGTAGGTGACCTTTTAACTTATGCCTGACAAGTGAGGTGGATACCACTTTATAGGTATTTATATGCTGTGTTATGGTTTAGTTTTCCAACTAAATTGTAATATTTTCAGAATCAGGGAACATTTCCTTTATTTCTTTTGTATCCTGTCCATTTCTAATTCAGTATTTTGTAGGTATCTGGTGTTAAGTATTGATTGAACTGGAAATTTTCTGAGTAACCTGTTCTTTTCTTGACATTTTCTTTTTCTCAGATCTTGCAGATAAAATTTAGGAGATAGATTAATGAAATATGCCATTTCCGTATTTTGGTAAAGATTTTAGATTGATTCCTTTTTCTGTGTGTAGCGAGATGAAGTCAGTCTTCATAAGAAGCTGAGGACCGAAGTTATCCAGCTGGAAGATACACTGGCCCAAGTCCGCAAGGAGTATGAAATGCTGAGGATAGAGTTTGAGCAGACACTCGCTGCCAATGAACAAGCAGGTAGAATTACTCATTCCACACTGCAGTTGATGCCTTCCTCGGAAGACACAAGGCAGGCCTCAGGATTTGTTAATGCTGACTTGAACTCAGAAGTCCCAGGGTGCCTGAAATCCTATAATCCATTTGGGTTCACAGCCTAGATGTTTGCCTTTTAACCCAAGTTGACCATTTTTGTTTTCATCTTTGAGAAGGATTCTTCCTTTTGGTAGATCTCCCTGTTTCTCTGAGGCCCTTTCTCTCCTCGTGCCTTTGCCCTGTCAGTTCCTCCTAACATTGCCCTTGCTGTATTTCAGGCCCCATAAACCGGGAGATGCGCCACCTCATCAGCAGCCTCCAGAATCACAATCACCAGCTGAAAGGGGAGGTCCTAAGGTATAAGCGGAAATTGAGAGAAGCCCAGTCTGACCTGAACAAGGTAACCAGGAGGAGTGAAATAAGTATTATTTGCTCTTAAGGTTACACAGCTACTTTGAAAGAGGTAAGCAGTGTGGTTACCATAAGTGATGTGCACCTTTCTTTTCTTTGTCTTTATTCTTCCAGACACGTCTGCGTAGTGGCAGTGCCCTCCTGCAGTCTCAGTCTAGTACCGAGGACTCGAAGGACGAGCCTGCAGAGCTAAAGCAAGACTCTGAGGACTTACCTGCCCAGTCCTCAGCATCAAAGGCATCTCAGGAGGATGCCAATGAAATGAAGTCCAAGCGGGATGAAGAAGAACGGGAGCGAGAAAGGAGGGAGAAAGAGAGGGAGCGAGAAAGAGAACGGGAGAAGGAAAAGGAGAGAGAGAGAGAGAAGCAGAAACTGAAAGAGTCAGAAAAAGAGAGAGATTCTGCTAAGGACAAAGAGAAAGGCAAACATGATGATGGAAGGAAAAAGGAAGCAGAAATTATCAAACAGCTGAAGATTGAACTCAAGTAAGCACGATATCAGGACTCAGTGTTCTTGACTCAGAAGCTAAAGTTAGGACACCATGCGTGAGATCTTTGGCTGATCATTGTCATAGTTTAGGCTGTACTACTAATGTGGTTTCAACTCTTGATCCAGTATATAGGCAAAATGGCCTGCATGGCTGTTAGGTACCTTGGTTTGATATTTTAGTTATTAGTAAATCCCATGATTATAGACTTACTTTTCATGAATCCAAATTAAAGGAAGAGATGTCATGATTAAAGTAACACTCCTGAGGATTATTGGAGATTAACTACTGATCTTTATTGGATTTGGGTAGATTGCTGGCATTATTGCTGAAATTACACTAAATGGAACATATATGGATCAGTGTGTCTTGAGCAGTTTTTGATCTATTTGTCCAACAGTTAACTAGTTAGTGCTAGGTCTTTTAAGAGATTTTTTAGATTTATTCCCACAGGCAGTGAAACAGTTAAGCAGACCTTTAACCTAGCGAGACACTATCTTTGTCATAACCTCACATGTTGCCCCTTCTGCATAACCAGTAGCTTCTACAATAGAACTGGTTACTACTTCTTTTTTTTTGAGACAGAGTCTCAAGCTGTCACCCTGGTAGAAGACTCTTGGGTTTAAGTGATTATCTTGCCTCAGCCTCCCAAGTAGCTGGGACTACAGGCACCCACCCCAATGCCTGGCTATATATTTTTTGTTGTTATTGCAGATATTGTTGTTTTAGCAGGCCCAGGCCAGATTTGAATCTGCCAGCCTTGGTGTATGTGGCCGGCACCCTACCCACTGAGCTACAGGTGCCGCCAGAACTGGTTACTTCTTGATCCCCATTTTTTTATAGCTGCCTCTTTGTTGTTTAGATTTGATGGACTGTTGTGCTCAGAATGCTTAAAATATGCTCTGGTATATAAAAATGTAGTTAAGAGGTTTAATAATTTAGTAAGAGATGAAGTTTTAGTCTTTAGCTGATGGTTAGTCATTATGCTGTCACACAGTGTGGCATCAGAAACATCTGATTTCCATAATCATTTAAATACATTCCTGGACACCATCCCAGATCTACTGAATTTGAGTTTTTAAGGGTGGGGATCATAAAAATTTGCCCAAGTAATAGGCTGATGTCTACCTGGTTAGAGAACTTTGTTTGAAGGGGGAAGTGATTCATTTATACAGCTAACTTTTCTGTGCATTCTAAACACATCCAAAAGTCTCTTGATAGTTTGTAAAATTTTGTCTGATAGGTGTGATATAAAATATAAAAAACTTTTAAAATATCCTGCTCCCAAATTCCCTTACTCTGATGCCCTTTCTTTTCTTGTTCTATTGTTCCCCTCCCTCGACTACGGCTGTCACAGGAAGGCACAAGAGAGCCAAAAGGAGATGAAACTGTTACTAGACATGTACCGCTCTGCCCCAAAGGAACAGAGAGACAAAGTGCAGCTGATGGCGGCCGAGAAGAAGTCTAAGGCAGAGGTATCTAGTCTGCTGTTGCCTGTCCTCTGGTTAAAATCTGCATATGTGGGATTTTAACTGTAACATTTTCTGCTCTTCTAAAGACCATCTAAAGTAGATATTTTAGGATTCTCCGCAAAGTGGTAAGATTACACCAGAATTACTTGAATTAGGAGTAGGGTCACAAATATTTCATTCCCTGCTTTACCTGTGTGAATCATTGCTTATAGTGATTTGCTTATTATTTTTGGGAGAAATTTTGTAAACTCTTAAAATTTGGGGAACTACATAAAATGCACATGCTCCCTCCTTACAAATGTTGTCATAGAAGCATGTAATGTTGGCGTGGAATGGTGTTAAAACAGTGTTGTAATTTGACATATTTATTTTGTTCCATAATCCTGTAAAGGCTCTTTTGTTGTGATGGGCCCTCTGTCTATCCACAGTGTGAACTGATTTTTGAAAATGTGTTACCACTTATTCTTTGTTTTTGTGTAATGCTTTTCCTCCTATAGTTGGACGATCTAAGGCAAAGACTCAAGGATCTTGAAGATAAGGAGAAGAAAGAGAACAAGAAAATGGCTGATGAAGATGCCTTGCGGAAGATCCGGGCAGTAGAGGAGCAGATAGAGTACCTGCAGAAGAAGCTGGCCATGGCCAAGCAGGTGGATTTCTTTATTTAGTTGACTTTTAAAGTAAATGTTACCTCATGAGTAAGTTGCTGCCAGTGAAGTTTGCTCTTTCTAATCTTTGTTTGTTAATATTTTTTTCGCTTATATGGGCTTTTGTTTGTTTTTACATTGAAGTCTTCTTCCATTATTTTGTTTTACATATTTGTGAGGCAGGAAATTTACTTATATTTCCAAATGGATAGTCCATTGTTCAATAATTGTTACATTGTTTGTTGAGGATCTGTCCTTTGTATACTTGGAATCAAGGGATACATTGAATATAAAATAAAAAAAGATTATTTTATATACATTATGATTTCAAATATATGACACTAATAAAACCATTTATAAATAAATGTAACATTCATAATTATATATATTCATATATATGCATGTGTTTATATATTTTATATTTATAAGTATGTGTAAAATTTGTTCTGTTTTCATTTGGTCCTAGACAAACTAGTTTTAAAATACATATGGAAAAGTAAATAAGAGTGACAAGGAAAATTGAAAAAGGACAGCACTGGAATCTCTTCCAGAGTTAAAACATAAAGTTTCAGTAGGTAAAATAGCTCGGGACTACTAAACAGACCATCAGAACTGAACAGAAACTCCAGAAATAGACCACAGTACACGTAGGTATTTAATATGGTAAAGACAGAGTTTTCAATTAGTGTGGAAAAGGATGGTTGTGGTGAGATAAAAATTTAAAAATGAGGCTCGATGCTTGTAGCTCAGCAGCCAGCCACATACACCAGAGCTGGTGGGTTCGAATCCAGCCTGGGCCTGCCAAACAACAACAAACTACAACCAAAAAATAGCTGGGTATTGTGGCGGGTGCTTATAGTCTCAGCTACTTGGGAGGCTGAAGCAAGAGAATTGCTTAAGCCCAAGAGTTTGAGGTTGCTGTGAGCTTTGATGCCACGGCACTCTACACAGGGCGACAGCTTGAGACGCTCTCAAAAAACAAATTTAAAAATGATATTAGATAAAAAGTTGGATCCGTACTTGAACACTCTACAGTTGGATGATTCCCAAATGGTTCATAGATACAATATTCAAAAAATGACACCATGAAAAATCTAGAAGAAAAAATTTGGAGTGGAGATCTTTCTAATTATTTAATAAAAGGCTATAAAACATGAAAGAAAGATAATTTTGAGTTATTAAAAAAAGATAAAATTCCTACATGGCAAAAATAAAACAACAACAACAACAAATACTGTTAGCAAAGCCAAATGTTTAAATGCCAAAAAGGCAAAAGTATTTTCCACTGTTAGTCACAAAGGGGCTTATCTTTCTAATACAGAAATCTCTTAAAATATGGTAGGGAAAAAAATCCCAACAGCCCAGTAGAAGAATAGGCAAAAGATATGAGTAGTTCACATGCAAGAATACAAATGGCTCTGAAACATTTAAAAAGATGCCCAGTCTCATTTATAAGGTAGTCGTAAATTAAAGCTGTTGTTAGGTACTATTCATTGTCTGTCAGACCGTTACAACACTTTGGATGTTTGCAAGTGCTGGAAAATCTGTAGATTAAATTCAGAATTTTAATTGTGGGAAAGTAATGTAAGGAGATGTGAGATATTATGGTAGAGGTTCTCCTAAGTAGCTGCTGCCTGATCAGTTTGCCCAGGTTAAGGTATGGAGGATAATGTCTTTGACTACAGATGAACTAATGAGTATCAGATCAACAACTGGTGCCAGTGACCGCAGGTAACAGGGCTTCTTCTGTACTTTTAGGACTACCTTAGTAACAAAAGTAAGCTTCTTAAAACTTAGTCTCTGTCACTAAGTTAATTTATGTCTAAATGAACAGTGGGAAGTTTGGTTTCCTGTGCTCATTCTCTGGACTTAGAAGGCTGCTCTCAGATGAAGTCTCTTCCTCTTTGTTTTAGGAGGAAGAAGCTCTGCTCTCTGAGATGGACGTCACCGGCCAGGCCTTTGAAGACATGCAGGAACAAAACATCCGCTTGATGCAGCAGCTGCGGGAGAAAGATGATGCAAATTTCAAGCTCATGTCAGAGCGTATCAAGTCCAATCAGATCCATAAGTTGCTTAAAGAAGAGAAGGAGGAGCTGGCAGACCAGGTTTTGACTCTAAAGACTCAGGTAATTAGGATGAATAGAGCTTTCAATTCTCTTGACGAAAGCTGCTCTCTGAAGGTACATGGACAAGGATGATTATTGTGGCATTTTTTTTCTTCTTATGATAGGAAAAAAACTGTCCATCATTGGGGTACTGATAATTAAATTATACATCCCTACAATTATATATCCCCACAAAGAGTATGATGTAGCTGTTAAAACAAATATGGATCAGCTCATATGTAAAAATGTCTAAAAATTAGTGATTTGTTTTATTATCCTTTTTGTGTTAAAATGTTTGTGCTTGTGCTGTGTATTTTTAAAAATTCTGGAAAGCTGCGTGAGAAACTTTTAAGAATGGTTACCTCTGGATATTGGGATGAGTTGTGGGTTAGGAAGTGGGTGTGTGTGGTTTTACTTTTTACTCTTTGATGTTGCTGGCTTCTTCCCTGTTCACTATTTCAAGAAAAAGACTGCTTTAGAACCTCCAGCTGTTGTGAAAGAGATACACTTGGACTTTTGTTTGAGCCGCAGTTTATGCGTTCTAGTGTGAATGGCCAGGTTTTAAGCAATTAGTATGGGCAGAGAAGAAACATATTGGTAACTGGAATTTCCCCTATTTTTGATGCTTTGGAGAAGAATCTTTTCAGTGATTTCTTAGATTCTTTTTGAATCTTCAGCAATATTTTATGTTGCAAGTGAAGCTTTCACCTTTTATAATCTTGAGGTATGTTGAAAGGTTCAAGGTTAAAGTCAGTCATAGTTTGAGATTCCTAACATTATATTTTGTGAGACCATGGTTTAACAGAGAATAGTCAGGGGTTTTATTTTTTTGATTGTTTGGTATTTTCTTTTGGTTGGTTGGTTTTTTGCCTTTCAGTTTTTGTTTAAAAAGTCTGATTTTCTACTTCAAAGGTTGATGCCCAGTTACAGGTGGTGAGGAAACTGGAAGAGAAGGAGCATCTGTTACAGAGCAACATCGGCACAGGGGAGAAAGAGCTGGGCCTTCGCACCCAGGCCTTGGAGATGAGTAAACGCAAGGTATGACCGATGGCGGCCAAAGAATGCTAGCACTGCTGAGAAAGCATTGGCTCACTTGATCCCTTGAACTCGGGTTAATATTTTGCCTCACTTGAAATAAAGGGTAATGAGATGATACTTGTACACCCTACGTAGGCAATGGAGGCAGCCCAGCTTGCAGATGAGCTCAAAGCACAGCTGGAGTTGGCCCAGAAGAAACTCCATGATTTTCAGGAGGAGATTGTGGAGAACAGTGTCACCAAAGAAAAGGACATGTTCAATTTCAAACGCGCCCAGGTAAGAGCATTGTCTTTTCTTTACATTTCACCTTTAGATGTGTTCTGAGATCTGAAGTGACCCACAGGATGAAAGAGTCATTGCTCTAATGTTTGTCATCACCTACTGTCCATTTTGTCATAGGAAAACATCCTGAAAACTAAATGTTCATCATTAAGTTCCTGGTAACTAATGCACCCTTCAGGCTTCCTACAAACAGGAGTGTAGCTGCTAAAACAAATGTGGTTCCGCTAATATGTAAAAATTCCCTGAGGGAAGAGATCAAGTCTGTTTTCTTCACTGCCATATCCCCAAAGCTTGTTCTGGTGCTTAGCACTTAGTAGGCATGAAATAAATATATATTCAATGAATGAATTAGTGAATTTTTAAAGAAGTTGCAGTACAGCAACGTTCTCCTACAATTTCTCTCTTGTCATGTCAGCTGTTTCTCATGTTGCCTTTCTGTCCTTACTATACATCTGTAAATTGTTTTAAACCAGTCTTCTTTCAGCCTAAAACTAGTTACCATAAAATAAAGTGGCCTAGCCTCTAAACTCTTAGACTGTCTGTTCATAGGACTGAATTGGCAATATTTACATTGGATTCTAATTTGGGGATATGATCACAGTTGCCTTTTGAAACAAAAGAAAATATCTTGCCATTTGTAATCCTCTACATTTCTAAAAAGGTAATTGGTTGTGAAAGGACAGAATGTCTTTCCACGATAGAAAGTTTAAGTTGGAGCAGTTATTTTTCTCCCAGACGGCAGGTTTGGGGAAGCGTGTCTAACGGGTCTGCTATCCTACCACAGGAGGACATCTCTAGACTTCGAAGGAAGCTGGAGACCACTAAGAAACCAGACAATGTACCCAAATGTGATGAGATTCTGATGGAGGAAATTAAGGATTACAAGGTTAGAAAAACCACCTCCCTGATTTCTTTACGCTTTTGTCAAGGCTGCAGGTGGCCTGCTGACGCACTGGAGAATAAATACTGAGCATCTTTACATGCCAGTAACCAGAGAATGGTTTATTTTGGAGGTGGTGGAAAGTGGTACTTTTTTCTTGGTGTCTTGTGGTTTTTCTTGTTGTTTGTTTGCTTTTATGTTAGAGCCCTTTGGACCCTGAATCTTGTTAGACTCTCTGACTTTTCTTTTTAGGCACGCCTGACCTGTCCATGCTGTAACATGCGTAAAAAGGATGCCGTGCTCACCAAGTGTTTTCATGTTTTCTGCTTTGAATGTGTGAAGACACGCTATGACACCCGCCAGCGCAAATGTCCCAAGTGCAACGCTGCTTTTGGTGCCAATGATTTTCATCGCATCTACATTGGTTGAACCCAGTTAAGAGAAGAACAGTAGGTGGCTAGACGCGCACTTACTCCTTAACCACCAAGCCTCTACCTCCTCTCTCCTTGCGACACCTCCAGGACAGTTTTCCTGTCAGCTGCCCTTCCTCCACAGACTTTCCCGCCCAGGCCCTCGTCCTCCGCAGCAGCGGGATAACATTAGTGGAGAGGGCTGCTGAATGCAAGCCTGGGGCTTTAGAATGAATTAGAAACAAACAGCTCTTATGTGACTTCCCCACCAGCTTTGCTCATTTCCTGCCTTTAGACTTTTCAACATTTTCTTTTTCTGGCCCACAGTACCCGCTCCTCCTGAAGAAGTCAGGATGGTATTTGTGACATGGAGAAGGGAACAGAGTGGAAACATGACTATTTGGGGAGAGTGACCTTTTAGAAATAAGCTATCCATTGGACACAGTCTTTTCTTGATTCAGATTATAAACTTTTTGTAAACTTGGATTATAAAATGGTATAATTGTGCCACTCTTTCCTGGATGGTTTGAAGCCCTAATGAAATTATGTCCAGGATGATTCAAAACATTTTCTATTTACTGGCAGAGTAACTTGGTAAGATCAGCTGGCTTCCTTGTTAAAGTTATTTAAATTTTGAATGTTCTACTTAAAGTCTTTAAAATTTCTTGATTCCAGAATAATTTCAAATAATATGCATGCAGAGCCTCTTTTGTCTATTAATGAAATGAAGATTGGAGAGATTGGGGAACAGGCCTGAGGTGGTAAAGAGGTCTTATGGGTACTTTGGGAACTGGATACAGAGATGCCTTAGTGACTTATGAATTATTCTTATCTTCTTTCCACAGGGGTTTTTGTAATCCCTATTTCCAGGAGATTGTCTGTGATATTTCTGTAGGACTTTATATTCTACAAGCTTCAATTAAAGCAGGATTCATTGTGCTTTTGTGTTCATGATTTTTCTTCAAAACTTTTGTTTTTGCTATTACTAGTTGACTGCATATCTGCTGCTCTAGAATCAAATTCTCATGAACAGAAATAATTAGCTCAGATTAAGAGGATGGCTGTGTTAAAAGTAGCTAGTTCTTTGATTAATTGTGGCACCTTTGTCCTGCTTGTTATATTGAGTCTGTTCCGAGGAAGAATTATACCTAAAAGATGATGACTTAGAATTTGTGGATAAGTGGTTAAAAAAATAAAAAGATGATTTATTTGATTATGTAATTCTTTTCCATCATTTGCTATGGGGGGTGAAGGGGAAGACGTTGTGATTTTTTTTTTTTTTAGGGAATATAATGCTGCTTGATGCTGTAGTTTGAGGGTTCTTGCATTATGTTTATAGTAACCAGCAAACCAGAAGATTTCTATATCTGGCGAAGGGTTGAGTAAAGTGGATCTTTCTTAATCATTACCTGTCGTAGAAGACGGGTAAGGACAAATTCCATGTCATTTTATGGTCACCAGCTATAATCAGTGGGATATGTGATGCATTCCACAAAGTTGTTTTGTGTGAGTTTGAAATCAATCTAACGGAGAGAACTTTACACAGTTATCAAGAGGATGACTTGATCCTGGATCAAGGATCCCTCGATACCCCAACCAACACACACACCTGTGGTGGGATTAGGCCCTGCTGTTGGACGCACATTGAGCATTTAGTACAGGACTTTGTTTATGCTGCTCACTCTTATTATAGGGCAAGCTTTAGCATAATTTTGTTGACTCGGGGGTAAATAGACTTGGGCAGGTGGTTTGGGTTTAGCTATTAGCTATTTCTGACAGTTGGCTGGGAAAGCCAGCTGCCCAGCACTGGGGGATAGTGGAACCTGTGGAACATTGGTGAGAGAAATCACTAGATCCATGGAAAGCTGGATTTAGAGGAAGTTCTAGTTTAGAAGAGCAAGGAGGAGCCCTGATCCCAACAAGCTTGAGGTCCAGGAAATAAAAGGTGAGCTTTCAAAGTCTTTTTCAGATAATCAAAAAGGGTGGTGAGTAATTTTTTGGCAGTTAGCTTATCTCACTACAGAAAAGCTCGATGAATGGGCTTCAGGAATACCTGCAACTAGCACACCACATGTTTGTGGTGTTTGTATTTTATTAATAATTTTTTTTCATACCCTTAAAGGAATTTTGAAACCTTACAAACCTCAAGTTAGGAATCAATGTCAATTTCAAAGATTATTGTAGAAGTACTAGAGGGTTCTCATTTAAAAGAGAATTTCTGATCTGTATAGATCCTACCCCCTTGCTTTGTTTTGTGATACCTCAGGCATGCTTTAGGCATATGCCTTCATTATACACTCGGTTCTTCTGTAGGGATCTTTTTTCAAAGGTATTGAGCTGTTCTGTAGCTATTACATTCTTACATGAATTTCCATTGTGAGTCCTTGCTTTTGCTTATTCCCTGTTTAGAGCTACAGGTATCCTTGTTCTTGAAGGGTAGGAGTTCTGTGCACCTAATGTCCGTGACACCAGAGTAATGAGTATGACTAGATATTGTGAAGGTTCTGGACTGGAAACAGTCCTCTGTTCTTTTAGATGGCAATGCTAATTCTTAGAATAAGCATATACTGCTCTCACTATTATGTGCTGGTGTGGAATGCTTTTAAATTTTGTTTCTTAAAGTTATTTCTGAGGACTGTTAGTAACCAAAGTCACGATGGGTCTGTAGAAAAGTTGATTAGTTACTATCACAAAGGTCTACTTGACTGATGTATGATAAGACAGCTACACTGAGATTGGGAAGAAAACTGGTGGGTTTTGTGCATGTTGGATTGGGGTTTAAACAATAGGAAACCCCTGTTGTGGAAAGGCTTAACAGATTTCCTAGATCTTAAAGTTTGGAAATACTTAAGAATTGTCCCATCACAAAGAAAAATTGAGCTCTACCTTCTGGGGATTTCTGCCCAAGCTTGGTCTCTTCCTAATGTTAGCTATTGAAGTCTTTTTTATAGCATACTTCACAGTTACTAAAATTAGGACATGGAAAGGACAATTACTAAAATTAGGATGCAGAAAGTTCCAATATGTAGAAGAGGCACAGAATATTCAGTAAAGGTGTCTATGAGCAAGTTAATTTCAGTTCCATGTTTCTGCTGCCCAATCTTCAGAAGTCCGGTCTATTGGGCCAATGTGTGAATTTGAAGCTTCTCACTCTTTTTGTTTTTCTTATTGTCTAAGTGGAAACAACCTTTCCTCATATTAAAGTAACTCTTCACATTTGGATTATGCTAACATACGTGATGGCATTTTTAATTACTTTTGTAGTGACAAAAGGAATTATGAATTCTGAAACTAACACCGCTATAGAGACAGCCCAAGACAGCTGAGGCTTCTTTCATGTAGGTTAATCTTTTTTTTTGAGGAAAGGCATATTTACATAACTACAATAGTGATGTACTGTGTGGATCCCAAATTATAGAAATTTATGAAATGGAGAATGGGGAGCTCAAAGGGACCTCAGACTGTATCTTTATTTTACAGATGAGGAAATGGGCTCCAAGGTCACTCTGTTTAGCCACAGATGAAATACGACTATCAGACCTCTGCCAGGCCTTCTTTTATCCTAAGTACAGACTCTACCGATAGAGTACTTGTCACCACGTAAATAGTATGTAAAAACATTTTAAGTCATTTTGAAGTCTTTCTGAAGACATAGGAACCTAGTATATTTATCCTTGGTAGTTCTAATTTAAGGAGGCTGTCTTTGCCAGGCCCTGGATTAGGTTTCTGAATTCATTAAGAGTTCATTTAGCACCTTGCTGTGAAGTAGAATTGAATCAAAGAGTTCTTAGATTTCTCCTTGCTCTCTCAATCTTACTGTGCATTTGCTGAGTGCATACTGTGATTTCAGGCACTGTGTTAAATACATTTCTTATAAAGTCAGACTTGTCTGGGTGCGGCTGGGCCACGTATTAGCAAGTTACTTTCCTGCATTTCAGTTTCTTCATCTATAAAATACGTCATAGGGTTGTATTGAGGATGAAATGAATCAGTGTATAGGAGACGTTCAGATAGTGCCTGGCACCCAGGTGAAGTGAACCAATAGAGAGCAGAACCTCTGAGTTGCCATCCAGGGGACTGTAACAAAGTGGTCAACACCAGGAACTAGGCCTACTGTGCCAATAGATACACATGGGGCATGATGGTTAATGAAAATTAGATAAACTTAAAGAGGTGGTGAAGGTAGGGAAAGCGGTCAGTTATGGAGATTCTACTGTATGTGAGACATTCAGCGTGGTGCCTGGCACTGATTATTATTGTTGGAAATAAATTGATAGGTCAAATTTTCTTTCCCGCCTACATTTTCTTCCATTTCTAAGAAAAAATGAGACTGACAGCTTCCCTGAAATCTATGTCGCATGTGTTTATCCATGTCTCTCTTTTTCCTGTCCTGGTTACAGGATATCATGGCCAATTCATCCCATAACACGAAAGGTTTACCTGTATCTGCTCACTGCCTTGCCAATGAACAAAATGTGTGTGAGTGACAGCCAGCTCCACCTAGTGGTGAGGATCCCGGTCTTTGAATCTGTCCCTGTTCAGTTTAAAATCCTTGAGTGGTTCCTGTAGTCTTCAGTACACAGATCCAGTTTAGCACAGTGATCTTGCCTCTGCTTTTCTCTTTCCAGTTTTTATAGTTTGTCATCTACCTTGATTGAGCTTAATGTTTCTGTCATAATGAACTATTTGATGTTCCCAGTTTCTACATTGCTGGGGTTTCCCAAATCTGGATTTTGCACATGCTGTTTCTTTTACATGAGTTACGTATTACCCACCACCACGTCTCTTTGCCTCACATGTGCGCACACACAGTAAGTGTCGTTGTTGCTGCCGTAGCACCCAGTAGGTGTGTGTTATCAGAGTACACACCGTGCTGTGTTGACAGTTTGTAGCCTCTCACTAGACTGAGCTCCATTGGATCAGAATCTGTTCTTTATCTTTCTGTCTCTGGCAGTGAGCCCAATGTCTGGTTCCAAGTAGGCAAACAAAATGTTAAAGCCCGAATTATATAAAACATCTGTAGGTAAGTTGGTGGTTGAATTAGGTTATAATAAGTTTGTATTTTTATGGTATTTGACTTGGTTCTATTTTAATAGAATGTGTAAAAGAATGTATCAGGCTGGCAAATTTGCCAGTCGCTAAAATGCTTGGATCATCAGAAACCACTGAGATGCCTGGGACTGTGGGGCTGCTAAGTGATTTGTCACTGTGTCCCCCTAGTTCTTGACTAGACGAGAAAGCAGAAAGAAAACATGCTGGAACACTATTTCTGTGACTTAGGTGGTACAGTGTTGAGTTAAATGGCCTAGTGCAGGTGTAGTTATAATAGCAGCTTCCACTGTGCTCTGTGGAGGTGGGGGCCAGGCTGAGGCATTGGCAGGAGGTGCTGAGGCAAAGGGACTAACAGGGGATTAGAGGAAGAAGAGGACGTTGTAAGGCAATGATCAGAATCCTGACAATAGTGTATAGTTGTACAGGTCTCTGCCACTACTGTTAGCTATGTGACCTTGAGCAAGTTAGGCAATTTCTCTGACCCTTGGTTTTTCATCTGTTGTCTAAAGAGCTTGTTTGCCTCCCCTAGACAACATTGCTAGCACCTATTTCATGGGATTGTTAAGATGAAATGAAATTGTGATTTGTAATAAGTGCCCCCAAATATTAGATATTACAGTACTGCCTGTTTATAGGTAGTGAAAAGGTCAGATTGTGAGATGGTTTTTGAAATTAGAGACCATACCCATCTTGTTCACTGTTGTGTCTCTAGCATTTGGCACCTAAATGGAAGCTGTTTAGCAAATGTTTGTTGAATTTCTAAATGTGGGAAACTTTAAATGATCAGCGTTTTTAGAGATCTCTGAATATTGTGGGTCCTTTTTTCTAGAATATCTTTCTCAGATGAAGCCATTTCATTTCCACTTGATGATGCATAGGCTGTGATTTTTCAGCATATCTTGTGTTACTTCCTTGGAGTATACCAAGGAAAAAACATAAATGACAGTATTAATGGGTCTCCTGTTCAAGGAAGTTGCTGGTGTGACAGCAGCATTTGAATCCCCAAAGTCAATGCCAGCGGTACAGACAAAAGAAAAGTTTCTATCCGAACATTTATTTCACATCATAGAAACTGAAGATGGAAAAGACCTGAGGACATCTAGTCCATCCACATGGTTGTACAAGAAAAGTGGCTGGAGCAAAACAGCCTGTTCACTTCATGCTCACAAGACAGCAAGTCCGTTCTTCCCAGAGCGGAGCGATTGCAAACACGTTAAAATGAAGACACAATGCAAATACTCTTCACAAACCTTAAGAAAATACTTATCAGTACATTATTTTCATAAAATGATTAGTAACTAAATTTTAAAAAATGAGGGAGGGAATCCTGGATTCGAAGAACGTATTAGGTGGGTAAAGAAAGGAATAACGAAACAGTGCAGATAGATGGTGGGGTGATGGTAATGACTAGAAAGCAATTTCTGAAGACCGATTGGGTTTTCTGGTTTGCCTATCAAAAATAGGAGTTGGGAGGAAAAGAGGCTCTAATGTAGTTTCTCTCCCCTGTCCTCTCTGTCTACCCCAAGGAAGCGCTTCCCTTGCTCCAAGGCTCTAATAGACTCAGCACCCACATGGACACGTCTGTCCCCCGGATGACACAGTCTGTCCCCGGATGACACAGTCTGTCCCCCGGATGACACAGTCTGTCCCCGGATGACACAGTCTGTCCCCCGGATGACACAGTCTGTTCCCGGATGACACAGTCTGTTCCTCTTGCCACTTGTTCCATTTACCACTTCTCTGTCTGGAAGAGAAGCAGTGGCTCCTGTATGTGGTTTGTGCAATAGCAGACTTCATGAATAAGAGAGTTATCTCCAGGCACGTTAAAGACCTCAGCTGCTTGTGTCCCTGTGACTGCCTCACTTTGCTGTCCTGGTCATTCTTTCAACTTGTTGTCAATTGTTGGGGGAATCCTCTTTCTCCTTTGCCTTGAGGCAGACACACACTAGGGCTCTAACTTGTTATTATTTACAGGAACCAAGTAGCTATATCTGTTCCAACTCACCAATCATGCTTTGCTGTGTGCTGTTTGTGCCAGGAAGTGCCCATTGGAAAACGGAGTTAGGTTTTTGTGACACAGTTTATCACATTCCAAGTTTCCCAGCACCAGAGCCTGGAGGAGAATGGGGTCCTTCTGATCTCATGAAATGAAAGCCCAGGCGAGGAGGTTAGGTAGCATCCCTTCCACCTGAAGGCTTCTGATCTTTGTTTTTTTTTTTTTTTTTTTTGAGCCTGAGGGGAGTTGAAAGAACAGAAAGGAGGTTTTCAAGGACCCACCATTTCATGACGTCTTTTTACAAAACACAACACACTGTCTCACAAATTGCAAAACACTGTTCAGTTACTACCGATAAAAGTAACCATTGCTACTTAACATGAAGATTGCTTCATTTCAACACAAGCAAGTATGGTTTTTCTTTATTCAGAACGTGGAGGCATTTCAAGCAATGTTGATGGCGGTCAGCCTGCCTTCAGCCTCTGCTCTGCTTGCTGCGTCCTGCCATCGTTTTGGCCAGGTGGAGCCTCAGGAGATACTTGAGGGCATGCACTGGTCATCTAGTTTGTGGATGGGCAGCGCGGTCTGGCATGGGATCACCACGGCTCAGAATGCCTCAGTAGAGAAGCTTAAGGTAAACCCGATATACAAAAACCCAAACTTACAAAACAGATACATTAAGGGATAATTAATTGCATTACAAAAGGGTTCTTTACTTTACAAAAGAATTCACCTCTGGGTTCCCTTAAATAGCCAGCTTCTCAAATACAGTCAAATACGAGTTGAATTATAAAAATGTCCATGAACAACATTAGGAGCATGGCTGTAATGGGAATTGAGGTACACCTGTACATCAGACTTCTAGGCTGTGCAGAGGTTTGGGGGCCGCAGACTACCACGGTAGAATCTACAGCGTCTTTGTTGCAGGTCGGTGGGGATGGCTGAGGGGTGGAATCTTCCAAAGGCAGCTGCAAACCTACTTAGGGGACTGGGTGAGAATGTAGGGGTGTAGGGCATTTCAAGGCAGAATTGTCCTTTTCTGTGTTCAGAGCTCACCTGTTCTCTCAGTGTTGAACTGTTTCATCTGCGAGGTTGATGAAGTCTAACATGAGAGCCCTCCCATGCATCCTTTATTAGTACATCTAGGCCTACCTCCACCCCAGGGTTTTATCAGCCAATTATGGTTTTATCTAATTACACCTTAAGGTATTATCTTTCCTTGGGGGACTGGGTAGTTCTTGGTAGAAATGCAGACATTTTACCCAAAAGTAGGGGGAGAAATTTTCTGATTGAGACCCTTTTCGGATGATCTGCAGCTGTTAAAAGGGCACAGTGCCTAGCACTGGGAGTGGACTCGCTGAAGGTATTCAGATTGCTTCAGTGCATGGTACTAAGTAGACAGAGCAAGTAGTAGATAGATAGATCTCCTAAACCGTGCCTGGGGTGGTGGGAGTGGGCATGTGGAAGGAGAATCAGATTTGTGCTGAAGTTAAAAAAAACAAACTCTCAAAAAGTCTCCCTCTTCATGATCTTCCCCATACCTGGCGGCAACTAAACTTCCAGAACAGTGTCTCTGCAAGGGCAATTTTTGGATCACCTGGGATGTTGGGGAGCAGTAGGTTTCTGAGCCCACCTGCACGTCCCCACCCCCATATTCTCTGGGGAAGGGTTCTGGCCACCGGCATTCTGATGAGTTTCCTAGATGCTTCTTATCTATACTAACATTTGGGAACTCAAGTTCTAGAATTCCCACTTTTCTTTCCTTCTCTCCCTGCCTAAGCAGTCTTATGCTGGGAAAAGGATGTCTAGGCAGAGAGGGGGCCGGGTCACACATATCTTTGGGGGGCATTAGATGGGGCCTGGTGGATATGGAGAAGGGTCAAAACCTGTTCATAGCTCCCCAGAGGCGAGCGGGTGAAGATGGGATATTGACTTGGTGGTATCTATACGATATGCAGAGCACGGGGCAGATTCCTGAAGGTTGAAGTTTGTGATGTTCACAGCTTGGAGGTTCCCTTTTGGGATTCCTGTGCCAAGAGATAGGTGAGTGCTGATCTGAAAATGGCCTGGTGTGTGGTGTGCAGAACATTTCACTTAATCCGCAGTTCCAGCCCACGTACTCTGTGACAGAGAATAAGCAGGCATATTCCAGGTCCATCTTAAGGCCACGCCTTCTTTGCTTTGCTTTTCCTTTATAAAAGGCACACATTACAGTGGGGATGCTCAATTAGATTAGAAATATAGTCATCTTCATTCTTTAGCCAAATTGTCGTTTTGGCTCAGGGTTTTTGTTCTAAAAGCTTCGTGTGCATTTTTAATGCCTCTTTGACCCGTCTTCTGTCCCCACTCACCATATCCCTGTCCCCTTTCCTAGTGCTGTGGATGCGTGTTCCTACTAAATGTTCAAATGGAGTCAGAGAGCCAGAACCTTCTCTTGTCTGATCCACTCACTCCTTGGCCTGCTGTGACGCTATAATGAGTTGGGTTACTCTCCCAAGTGAGGAGGGCCCTGCTTTTACCCTGCTCCCCATTCAGAATGTAGTAGGAACAAATCTAGGTCAGAGAGCCGTATCAAAACCTACCACCCTGGAAAATCCTGTTCTATATTAAGATCAAAACCAACAAACCATTAAGACATAGGTATGTGAGTAACAATTTTATCTCTTGTTCATAGTGCAGAGAAAGGGCTAAAAACCAGAAATGTTACTGTGGCACCTTGTGAAAAGGTTGACAGGAGCTAGGGCTGTCCAGTTATGCACAGATCCCTTACGTGGTGCTTACTCCTGATTAATTTAAGATTCTTGCCATGAGAAAGACTCCTATCCTGGAAACACAGGGGGTGAGCTTGGGAGAGCTGCTGCCGCACTGAAGCTGGGGAGAGCAGACCTGACCTCTAAGAAGACCTAGCCCTCGGCCTCCCCACACCTGTGTCCTGTGTCTGACAAAAGAGCATGACAAAGGTCTCCAGGGCTCAGAGGAACACCAGGAACTGAGGGAAGGGAGCAGTGTGGTCACCTAGGACTCACACGTCCGATTTGTCCTTTGATACTCTTCCAACTCTGTTTTCCTGCTCACGGCCAGCTGCAGCTCCTGCCGGATCACCTGAATCTGCTTCTCCAGCTCTGAGAGCTCCTGCATCACTGAGTTCCGAGATACGTTCAGGGAGTCTGCTTTCCCATTAGTGGTCAGCAAGGCCGGGAGCTCTCTTCTCCTAGGTGGGAGAGGGATGTCCTGGTGGCTTCGGATGCCCAGCTGGTTTTGTCCTTCCTCATCACTAAAGATGCATTTCCGCCGGTCGTCGTGACTCAGATTGGAAGTGTTCCACACGGCGAGCTGACGGGGGCCCACGTTGGACCTAGGAAACAGACAGTTTAGATTTACTTTCCATCCTGCAGCTCTCAAAGTGCTGTTCTCCATCTGTTAGCCATTTCCTATGTGAGTAATATGCATTTAAGGATGAAGTAACAAACCAAGGACAGACTGCCCGCCAGAGTGGCCTGGGGACAACAGGAGCCACGAGCTTCCAACTGAAGCTCGGGGTCTTATCAAGTCTTATACTGCTCTGAAACATGAATAGGGCACCGTCTGGAAGGCTGACGGCACAGGAGTGGCATGCTCTTCTGTGAAGAATCTTAGGTGGATTTATTCCCCCTTCCTGTGGGTGAAGCTCAGAGCAGCACTGCCTTGAAACTGTCTGTGGCTGTAAAGATGGTGCCTTAGTTAAAGTGAAAATCTGTTTATTCAGATGTTGGACTCTAAGCATCAGCCTGTTGATAGATACAATAGGGCCTATCCTTCATCCCACAGGACCACTCCAATGTTTACCACTTGATTTTAGGGAGAATAAAAGCTTATTAGCCCCAAGTTTCTGCAAAGTGTTTCTCTTTATAGGAATGACTTTGTGTGCATTGAGAATGACAGGTCAGGTCTGATGCTTAAAAAATAAAAGAAGCCCTTATTTTCCTGCTGGGGTGATGAAAGCCACATAGAAACAGCTTGGCAATCTTGCTTTAGCCTTGCATTGTGCCACCTACACCCTTGAGGAGAGATGGCACTAGACAGCAGGAGAGTTGCTGACAGATAGTGACGGAGGAGGGTGGACCATTTCTGAAATGCACTTTGACACGTAAGTACGAGGAGGAGTTCCTCCCTACGAGCACAGCTTAAAACCCGAAGCAGCACAACTTCTAATTCCTTGTACCCTAAAGAAGGAAAGGAGGAGGAGGATTATGACCATTTTTGCCATCTCCACAGGACAACATGAAGTGGAAACATGCTGTTAATTCCTTGTGTTTTTGTTGCCTCGCATGTAACTGA